ATAAAACGAACGAAACGGATGGAAACAAATCAATAAAGAAGAGAAAAATTCCTACCTCCGTATTGTCCATATCCTGATGCCTGCGTGTCTTTCCCTCATTTCGATACTAATCAAGACTTCTGGAGGGTAAATAGAGTAAAAAAAAACGGAGTTAGAAATGTACTTCCATTAATATCGGATTAACTGTCCTTTGTTTGAGGGGAATAATGTCGAAAGAGACTTTTTTTTTGATTCAGGAATGAGAAATTTGCGGACGAGCTTATACGGATATTTGCCGAGCGGGATGTACCACCAAGAGCCAGCTTCACTCGTCCCCTGGTCTCATGTACAACCGGAAATAACGTCGGTAGGAGAGCTTTTCCGGGGGTTAAGTAGTCGATAGAAATGCATAGCAGCATCGTCCGAGGGATGTACAAACTCGAGGGCAAACTTCTCGTACTGCACTCCCTTTATAACGCATACCACCACATATTCTGGGTTTTCCAACGGGCTAGTGAATTCCCCTCTTTACTCCCTTCTGCTCTTCTACTCTGCATGAATCCAGTCTTTGGTTTAAGGTTGTTAGAGCTTCACTTCATCGTCAAGTATCTAGACCTTGTCCATGTCTTCCCATTTCCATTCTCCATACCATCCACTGTATGCCATCCACCCCATCAGGAAGTTTCTATTGAGTCGTGCAATTTTGGAAACTCAGAGTGCAATTACTGGGATACAGTCTGTTTAGTCATCAATTAAAAGGATTATCTATACCGCAATGGAGATTGACTTTAGGAAGGCAAGGATTTCTATTGAAATTTTGCGAAAAATCAAAACAAAAATGGCACTTGGAACTCATCCTGTTTTTATATTTCCATTCAAAATTCATTGGGACGTTTTATAATTGGAAGTTGTTGCTTCAATGTACTGTATTCTGATATTCAACAGGATGAGAATAACTTTTGACGAGGCTGGTAATCAATTCGATGAATACTAAAACCTCTGGGGAACCATCGGATATGATTCAATAATTTTATTAATTTTCATTCCCATATTGATCAACCAGAAATTGAATTAATCGTGGGGATGGGCTGGATGAAGCGGTTTAAACCTCGAGTTAATAGTTTCAGCCGCGTAAAATAGAGGACATAATTCCCGATTGCAACGGAGGATAGTCTTTGGATTTGGCTGTGTGGATTGCTTTTTGGCAGTGACTGGTCGCCACTAGACATCAGGCAACGTTCAATAATAATATACTGGTCTGGTCAGACCTGTTTACTTGTAATATACTGACCGCCATAGAACCCAGGAACCACTCAACCCAGGAGGATATCAATTCCCCTCGATACTTCTAATACTTTCGTTATTTCTAAAAAATTACACCTCCCCCCTCTCCCACTACTTTACCCCTTCTATCTAAATTTCTCCTCCTAGTTTTTTCCGTGAATTAATTGTGTTCTAGGACTAATAACTTTTCCCACCTTTTTTGCTCACCCTTCTCCCATTTCACTTGATGCAAATTGTAAAACGTGCCGCCCCGAGTCACCCTTCCGAAAGGAAACGCAAATACGAATGAGATTCCACTGGTGTTTATCCGTACGGATGAGCAATTCCACCGGCACAACTCTTGAAACTCCCTTCTTCCAAATGCCTAATCAAAACGCCTTGTTCCGGTCTACTTATTACCTTCATCAGTTCGATTTTTAATGGAATATTTTCGACGCCGTTGGTCACCCTCAGCATCCATATTCCAATGCATCAATTATATCTCCTGGTGCACGCAGCTCTGGCATTGAGTGGCAGCAAATTAAACCGAGTAATGATTTAATGCAAGACCGAAAAGATAAGACGTAGCCGGGGACAATAGGGTGGTATGGTGTGAGGATTTGTGAGAGAAGATTTTGAGGTAAAAGTTAGTGAGTACCTAAGTGGTAGGAAGCAACTCCATCCTAACAGGCCCATGGTTATGCTCGATTCAATTCCACACCTAGAGAGTTTTCCCAATTAGCTTTCAATCCTCGGCAAAACTTTCGTCAGACCCGCGTGTCTGCTTCGCCTCCGGCCTCACTACAATAAAAAGGTGAAGGATAAAGCGAATGATAAAAAAAAGAGGAAGGGGCGGAAATATATTTAACGATATAAATCCTTTTTAACCCACAGTCGACACGACTTCAATTTGTCCAACAAAATCTCACTCCACACGTTCCATTTTTCTACCTTATCTCTCGCTTTCCTCTTTACAGAGTTTATCGATCGTCATATATACGGCTTAATATAGAAAGAAAAAGTGGATACAAGAAAAATCTAATTTTAGAATAATATTGGAATATAGGCTTCACCTCCTGTCTTCCCTGCATTGTTGCACTTTTTCCAATTTTCTACTTTCTCTCACCATCTACCGTTGATTCTTTCTTTTCTCAGCGTTTTTTTTTTCCAATAGTGATTTCACCCTTAACTGTGTACGACACACAGCTCGTTCTCCATTTTCTCAATCCTTTGTTTCCTCTTGATTGCTATTGAATCGAGGAGATGAAAACGATTTTTGTCCCTTCTCGTCTTCGATACATCCAATATCCTGACAACCAATATCCTGTATTCACGTGATTTCTCACGATTGTATCCCGACAGGAGAAATTTTTCTCATATCAACAACGAAACAAAATATACTGAAGGTTATTCTCTACACGGAGAGAAATATTTAGTAAAAATAACGGAACTTTCAGTTCCCTTAACGATTACGGAAAATACACGTAATTTTTATTGAATATTTCTCTCAGTGTAGAACTGTTTACCGGAGAAGGTGTCGAATTATGTTAATTTGACTTGCAAGCATAATATCACCGAAACTCGTTAGGACGTTTACATGTATTTTTCGGTAGTTATTTCATGAATGCGTCAAAATGATCGATTATTCTCCGACAGTTTCGCTGTTAAGCTTCACACCGTTGGTAAAATTTCAATTTCTTCCTAATAGGATACCGAAATCTCATTGTTGCGATAAAGCATGAATTAAATCAGCAAACAGCTCATAAAATATTTATCTTCCATTGCCGGATTCCATGAAAATACTGTTCATTGTACAGGATAAATCTACAGTAGCGAGATTGTGAAAGAATGAAAGTTTTAGGAAGCTCGAGGAAAGCTGCAGTGGCATTTGCTCGAGTATTCCGATTATCCCCGAAACACGTGCACATGTACTTTGCAGAAGTAAAGAGAGTGAAGAGAGAAACGAGGGTTTCTACGTTGGTTGTTAGATGCATATAGTTCTAGTAAGGAAAAGGAGGTTTTCGTATGAAACAGAATAACCGTTTTGAATTATACAAAGAGGTCCGTATAGGCACGAGCAAACCCTAAGACCAGAGTACCAACATTTCATCTAGGTTAGCATAAAGTAAAACTAGACGAATGTTGAATCGCAAAATGTAACGTACGATGAGTGCAACATTTCCCAGTTTCGTAGTACACTCTGAATTTTTTATATATATTTGAAGCATTCACATGCGTGTATGTAAAAGCCTGGATATCTGCCAGCTCTGGCCAACTAGTGCATTAATAAAGTTTTATTGTTATTTACTATGACAATGGAACTGCGAGGGCGAGTGTGTTCCAAGCTTCGTCGGGTTATTAACGAGGATCCCTGTTATGGCCATGGGAAAGTGACGTACAACCCAACTGAGAGATGAGCTCCACCCAAACATTCTATTACGGTAGTTCACACCCCACCGAAATGGTCATTTATGTAATGTAACTTAATTGGCTCACCTTTAACGATTCCGTCGGTATCTTACTTCGCTGCTAACACATTTTCACCGACAGTTCTGGTACACATCTTGGTCACTCTCATTAGGGAACTTCATGTCCATCTTCAAACACTCAAAATCTAATGGCAGAATAAATGATAGCTATATATTAATTTATTAATTTAACAAAAATCATCATCGCTTGAATATTTGAATTATCATCGTTTAACCATCTTTATTCTGGTGCACAGCAGGTGAAAATCGTCTAATTATAATGATTCTCGTGAACCAGAGATGAATAATTACGGGACAGTGATATTTGTATGACGAAGCATTACGTCAGGAACGTGCTTCATTTACCCGAATGTAACAACGTATACGAATGATTATACAGTAATACTTGGTGTTACGTTAACACAATGCCGTAGGTAACAACCTCCAATTGTTTCTCCACACTTTTTACTACAGTACATACGACAGAAGAGTGGAAAAATTATACTGAACACTTTAGTACGCGCTCCAAACTATATTCAAAAGTTTATCACATATTTGTGTTCATTCATTAGTGTCTTTTATTGTATATTGAGTATACTTTCCGTGTCGTTTTGTTCCTGCGTTCCTCAATGTTTTTTTCTTCCATTTACGTTTTACGATTCTCACTGTTTATGTTCCAACAGACAATATAATATCTATATATTATCCATATGCGTGACTTTAGGTATACATGATTGTGCGTGAGGAGTTCCACTGTCTGTACTGTGCCAGTATGTATTTGCTAGCTATTTCTCTCCTTTACCTTCTTTATTTCACCTTAATAAAAGTAAACAGCAAATCGAGGTGAAAAAATGAATGAAACTTTTCCACAATTCTACAGAGGTAACAATAGTTGACGTTTCGGTTTTTTTCTCGGATGGTTATGTGGAATGAATCTCTCCATAAAATAGAGAAAAACAGAATGAAACGGCGGAACTAAGTTAAGTTTTATTATATTTCTGGAGAAAGCAAGCGACGGGCCCTTGGGATTTTCATTAAATCACTCCCTGTCATGGTGTTTGTACCGTTATTGATTCTTATTGCGTGAGGTGGACTTTTTCCTCCAGGAGTTCTTACTAGATCAATCTGATTTATATAACATTATATAACAAATGTTCATCTCAATTCATGAAATCATTCATTTTTCAATTATCTTATTCTCTATTCTACGCGCATCAGCTTATCTTCCTCCAACCCCACCTGAGACTTCCCCAATTGCATACTATTGACAAAACGAATTTCTCCTTTCAGGATATCTGCACCCTTCCAAGTAGCAGCAGTTATTCTCATCCTGGCAGGGACATTCTGCGCCCTCATAGGTCACTGCTACGCTGATCACAAGACAGTGATCGCGTGTGGACTTTTCCTTCTCGGTGGTGAGTATCCCAACAGCTCCAACAGTTAAAACACTGGAAACGTAGAGAATAAATAGAAAGAAAATAGTGGTACGCTTGAATGAATGGTACTCTGGAGGCTGCAAAGTGTTGAGGGAAAGACAAACGGAGAGCCAGAGGGACGTGAAAGAATAGAAAGTGAGTTCTTGCTGGCCAGTCACGTACAGCCCAACTCCTCTCGGCCCATCTTTTTCTCACGTCGAGTGTCTCTGTGTATCAACCCCACTTTCCACTGTTTCCATCTAACAATACCTCTCTTGATCTCTCTCCCACTGGCTTTCCCCTTCGTTCATAAGAATCCAGAAAGGCACGTGCGCCTGTCAATGGACAGAGTTGAACCTGAAAGTTTCCTCATGTGTATATTTATATACATGACTCTATTTATGCCAGATATCAATTCACCACATCAGCGAATGTTGAAGGACCTCATGCGGGTATTGTATTCACTCCATGAGATGATCGTGAACAATCTGTAATGGCCGAGTCATTGAAAACCCACGGGGTAACAATGGAGTTACTCAATCCTCGGAAACTACCCACACTACCCTTCACATTTATTCGGTGGAAAAGGAACTTGAATTCTTGCGGGTTGAGGTCCGCTTGGGGGATGGATTCCTTGAGACCACTGAGAAAAGGCTAGTGGATGATTGCTTTTCTCTCCTCAAGTCCCTTCACTCTTTTATAAACCTGGTGTGTAAGCTGATGAGTGTGGGGATTTACGGTACTGTTGGGACCGATTCGTCAATTCAACGAACCGGAGGGGGTTGCGGTAATTGAGGTGCTTGGATCAGAAGCCCTAGGATTTCTCATCAAACTCATTCTTTAAAGTCTAGCAATAAATCGTACACCGAGAAAAAAAAACATTAAAATGTAAATTAGATTTGAAATATAAATATTTTCCCAATATTATTCTATAAAAAAAATAATAATTTGTTAAGGTTACCAAAAATATTTTTAAATTCAATGCCTCCACATGAATATTTTAACGATTACTAATTTCACATTCGAATTCTTGCAAACAATTATAACTTGCAAGTTCCAATTGAACTCCGAAACTTCAGTTAATTATTTTGATCAGTGAAAATTCTTTTAAGTAAATTGAAAAATTCTAGGAATGGATCGTTGAAAATATCCTGCGGAAGGGATGAAGTACAATTGACGGAAGTTTCTGAGCTGAAGCCTTCGAATAATTAACTGAACCTTGATTAGCGATCAAGTAGCATGGATCGAGAGTCCGAGTGAATAGTGCAATGAATCGAGAAACTGGGAATAAAAGCTTCTGCTGAAAGGAGAGCCGCGTTCTCCCGTTAATACACTCCGGAGAATTCAATTAGATAAATTCGTCTTGGGAATTCAACAGTGATTACGCAGGCTCTTCTCCAGCGACATTTACAGGGGGGGAAAAACTGAGAATAGAAGCGGAAAAAAAGGAAAGACGTTTCTCCTCATTATATGCATAGCCGCAGGCAGGTACTTTATTTTTGTGAAGTTGCTCAAGTTTCTCCAGGACTCCAGTAAAATCACTCTCGCACTGATTAATTATTAGGTAATTACTGTTCAGATTAGTTTAGAAAGCGTTAATTTTTTTCCACGCAAATGAAAAAATAAGGAGAATAATTCGACGAAAGTTAATGAATTAAAAAGTTTTTTAAAGAAATTATTAAAAATTCTATTAGAGATTCGTTTACTTTTGTTGCATTTCTTCAATAAAGAAGTCAATTCCCTCATGTTCATATTCTAATTTCCAACGCTCTTTGCCGACATGTCGCTATTGACCTTACATTTCACCTCGACTGTAGACGATTTCCCTCGAGATTTCTCAGGCATGTAAAAAAAAACCTTTGGTGGAAGCGCACCAAAGACCAACTCTGAAGATGCCGGGGCTCTCTCAAAACACGTAATTGCGTGTCCAACAGTCAGAAGTGGCACAAAGAGTTTGGGTAAGTCGTCTTCGGGGAGATGGAAAATGGAGGATGAAGGAAGGAATAGTTGGAGATGAGACTGCTAGATAAGAAGTATCCAAAGGTGAGTGGGATAAGACTCGCCTGGTCTACGGGATTAGTCTGATTTAGTCTGCTTCTGAAATTCCATGGATTTGGTCTCTCCGCTGAACTCCCAATCTTACCTCGAGTCTTTCTCGTGGATTTACCACAATCGCCAGCAGATTTCGAAGACTGCTTTTCGTCCTATCGTTATCACAGAACAGGATCTAGCAGCTGATAAATTCTTTATTTTTATCGGCTCCGGAGTCCATGCGTGATGACGTGAAGGAGAAAATTAAGGAATAGAACGGTGAAGTCCTAAAACGTATGCGATTAATGCACTTTACGGTAGACTTAACTCTGGATGATATTTGAAAACAATAATCGAACGACATAATTAAATAGAGAAATAGAAAAGTCGAGTACATTTTCCGGAAATCTTAATCATATTAAAATTCCACTGAAATTTCAATATTCTATTACTCGATCCATTCGTCTCCGGAAGATAATAGAAACCTAATTTTCAATTTCCAATGAAATTGAAAATTTATGTTTTTTATCTTCTTCAATTGTAATCATTAACTATTACAGTAAATGCGTATATCATAATAGTCATTGAATATTCATTTAGAGAATACTTTCTGGTACCTAGAAATGAGGGAGTTATCTGAATTTATAAAGAAATGAGGAGTTTTTTTTTGGTAACTAAAATTTAAAGACATGTAAAGATTTAAAGAGTTCAGTGTAGATTTTGTTTAGTTTTGTGTCGGGTAAAGCAAGGAATCCTCGAGGATTCGGCCCCTAGAATATCCCGGTGCATGCCCTGAGCCGAGGGAATAAATGAGGGAAATTATCCACAGAGGCTCGTAGAGCAATAATATTTAACCTACGTCCCACCAAAAAGATAGCGAGAGGAAGACACTGGAGGACTACAGAGGAACCGGAAATGGCTCTGCGGGAATGAGAAGTTGGCTTGTCAGAGACCCAGAAATTATAAATTGTTGAAGCATAGTTGTAATTGTTTCAGGTGTGGGAGACGAGCGAAATGTGGGGTAAGGGAGCGTTTGGTTCCAGACACTGTTAAACCTCAACTTTTAATTTCCCGTGAATGTCCCTTTCCTGTCTCTCTGCTTGGTGTCTAACTATCTAGCAAGTTTCGGAGAAAAAGAGATAGGCAAATGTTGCAGCGAGAGGGGGTGTAACTGGGCGGTTGTCTGTCGACCAATTACACGCTCGATTTGCGAGGTAATCGATAGCCTAACGAGACACTCATCTATCGACAGATTCTTCGCTTATAAGGCCCTCAAAAGTTGCCTAATAGGCACGATTAATTGATCATTTAATATATCAATTCCATTTATCAAGCCGTGAATCACGTGTGGCACATTAATATGAATAGTCTCCTCAAGAACTTTAAATTCCGTGCGAATATCCGATTATTTCGAAAATCAGTAGTAATTGATTGATTGAATAGTAAATAATCTATCAATACACTGGAAATGCTCCTAAATTCGAGACAGGGCAAACATAAATGTTCCACCTCATATTCAAGGGAATGAGATGAAGATTTTTTATTTAATTTCGAAATCCATGTCATTTGTGGAGTTTTTCTCTTCGTCTCACGGAAAATACCATTCCAAGTTTAGCTAAGGCATACCGTTACCATGAATCGATTTTTGTTGTGGAATTCAATTACACAGATCTTTTATCAGTCTATTATGATGCCGAACTATTCACTATGTTCTGAAATATTCAGTATATTCGATGACTACGTCAATCCTTCATGACATTAAATTTCTGTGACGACACGACAAGCGCTGTTACATCGAGCAACATATACCCAACTTAGAAGTCAATTGCAGGCGAGTTTAATTCGGAAACGAGAGTGCCAGGGGAGGAAGTAACAATTAGTGTGGGTCGATCACGATCGGCAATAATGTCCTAAGGCAATGAATCGCGTTACAGACGAGTGGTATTGGCGATGGGACTGGAAGTTAAGTGGCATCGGGGAGAACAGAAGTAAGAGAATGACCAGGCGAAGGTGGAGAACACCTCTTGTGTGCCAGACTATTCGACCGAAAGCAGAACTATATGCTGGTGAACCATACCACACCATCCTCCGATAGGAAATGCTTAGTCAGTCGACACGAGAAATTATAGGACGACTGGTACAATCCCTGCATGGACCAAGTTACTGGCCACACCTATCACCACGTCTGAAACTCGTGTCGTGACAACCGCACCATTGCAATTTACTGTGGCTTCCATAAGTTATGGCATTTAGTAAATGTGAAGAAAGAAAATAAACTTTTTCAGCTTAAACCATTTTGCCGTTTACTTTACAGTTTATTAAACTTTAAACCAATTAATGATTAATGGCACTCCTCGAAAATGTTCAATAAATAAAATTTGAACGGTTTGGAGTTGAAACACTTGGAATAACTAACACAAAGTATTCTCAAACTTCCAACTCCCCCAAATATACTGAGCTCGTCACAAACTTGAATGAAATTTCCTTGAGAATTACAAACGTAAAGTTACGGCTGAACGATTGCATGCAAGTTTGTGATGCAGGAATAACAGAGGATATATAACGCACTCTCGGGAATAAATCGATTTTCTAGGGCAACAAGCCTTCTCACTCGAGTGCATCGTACTCTTTAGGTAAGACGAGCACGTAGTTGCAGTCCTCTGTGTACGTCAGTTTCCATGATTTCAGGATGAAGGTTGCATCGGTATGTACAAGCATTTAATATGTATGTGAAGGAACGTGGCAAGAGAGTGGATAAGTCGGGGTTAATGTAGCAGGAAACGCATTACCAGAAGTGCGGCATAGTAGTGGATTAGCAGAAAGACTACCCAGAGGATGCAGGTTGTACAAAAAGAATGAAGAATGCCAAACGGAAAGGAGAAAAGAGAAACAAGCTCATAATGACTCTGCGAAAGACTAACCGCGTGCGATGTTCTCCGAGTCGTCGCGTCGCCCCATTTCCTTTTCTT